TGAGTGAAATCAAAGCATGGCGAGGAACTACAGCACTTTTGCTAGATGTGCAAAATGCGAATACCTCATCCACAAACAATCGAGCTTTATCAATCAGTTGCGAACTCAGAGCTCTCTTGTTCGAAGTCTTTAACGGTCAGCATCTTAGAAACTCGGTAAGGAAAACTACTGTTAGTGGATGTCAGTCTGTTTGAATCGTATTATCAGTTAAACAAACACTTCATTATACAAGGTCATCTTATCGAGATATTCAGAACTGACAAAAGTAAGCTGAAATATCCATGCTTTCTTTTAATTTTCTGTCTGAGGTTGTTTCGAGCCAGCTTCTTTTCAATAACTCGTTAAGGAAAAATACTGCCGCCTGCTGTCAATCTGACGGACTAATCGTCTCTCAGACTGACACCTGCATGCATGAGTTCCACCTACTGAGATACTCACAAAAAAGTTAACGGCGCACAATCTCATGCTTAATAGCTGTTAGAGCACAAATGCTTTGCGTTTTTGCATGCTTTTCCTGCAAAACGATGTCAGAATACGCGAAAGTAAAACTGCACCTCCGTTTCGATCTGGCTTTTAAAGTCTTCTCGACCAGCATTTGACGCACCGCTCGAGGCCACTGCGGCACTTTGCTCAAGGTTAGGCGAGGACCGGTCGCTGAGTACCAAAGAAGTTTCCATTTTCTATAGCAATGCGAAATCGAATACACAAGTAGAACAAGTTGCGGCGGTTCGTTACCTTGTCCAAGGGTGACTCGGACGTCATTGTAGCAGAGTAGGTGGTTGAACGGGTAGCGGTCACCAGCCGCTTCGTAGTAAACTCATCGTCTGGCAACCTCGCGGAGGAAGCCATCGATGCGACCTTCGATGGGACATACGAAGGGAGGTTCATGCCTGTCACACAGTTTCTTTCCTGTAAAAATCAAACATCAACCTGCAACAGGGAGTTCGTTCGGTTAGCACAAGTATCGGTGCTTAAATATGAGCACATTTTTAATTAGGCAAAAAGGTCGCAGGAGGACGATGTAGATGCGCTCGTTTGCAGCCAAGAATTTTCAGTGTAATTTCTAAAATGCTTGATGCACCACTGGACGCTAGGACAAACCGTACAACGGCTACGTATCAAACAGCGGTCTTGGAAAAGAACGCACTCGCCTTACTGTACTTTTGCATCATCTGACAACATTACTTTTTATAACATGACTAGCAATTCACGGCTCCGATGCATGCTTTATCGTTCTTACATACTACAGACAATTTTTGCGTCATAACACAATAATGATCTTTACTTATCCATGTGCTACAAAAATACATAAACAAACAACACACATGAACATCACATTCCTTGCAAGTGGCGTTCGAAGCGGCCGCTGAATAGTTGTTGGCGTCAGGGCGGAGCCGTGCGTTCATGCAAAAAGCCCAAAATAGTTCTTTTAAAAAGAACGTTACGGCATTATGGCAACAGGAAGGAGAGGAACAAAGGAGGTGCGCCGACATGTTTTGATTCGTTTCGGACAAAGGAAAGTTTGTAACCGTTAAAACATCAGTCTTCCCCACACTTACACGATGGTCCATTTACCATGCCCTTCTTTTCACGAAGTAAATGGTGGGGAGCTGGTCTCTACTTCTAAGCAGTCTAATCGGTCAGGGGTGCCTTATTTGACAGTCGACACCAGCGACATGACAAGAACAGTTAATCACCTGTTTCCATTCCACAGAGTGACATCATTTATCAACCTCTGAAGGAAAAACGGCGAGCGACTTGACCGGGGCCCGGAACTCAGGACCTGTCGGTTGTTAGTACGACGCTCTACGGAATGAGCA